TGTCATTTGATAAGGATGCCAAATAAAATGGTCTATCATTTTAAATGCAATCATCAGCCTTATTTTAACGACAGCATTGCTCTATTATTTAATCTGAGTCCAGGAAGTAAAAAATTCCTCAAGGAGAGAGGGAGCAGCCTGCACTCAAAAAAATAAACTCAAATCTCTTTACTTCTTCAGTTTAGATCTAAGGTTGTATATAAGGATTTAGTCCTATTTCATGTAGTTAAAGCTTATAATGAAATATAAGAAGGTAGAGAGATGGTATTTTGCTACCCATCTTTCTCTCTCTCTCCTTCCTTCCTCTCTCTTTCTCCCCTTCCTTCTTTCTTTCCTTCCCTCCCTTCCTCCCTTCCTTCCTTCCTTCCTTCCTTCCTTCCTTCCTTCCTTCCTTCCTCTTTCTTCCTTTTCTCTCTCTCTGTTCATCCTCCTGACGACCTGTATATCTATTTATTTATCATCTACCATTCCATCCACCCATCCACCCATCTATCTATCCATCCATCCATCCATTTATCCATCCGCCCATCTATGTATATATGTATCTATCTATATCACCTATATAATAGAAATAGTAGATGAGCTTCTTCATGACGCCAAAGGCATGCCTACTTATCCTTATTGAGTTTTTAAAAAGAACTACTCGTCCATTTCTCTCTGAAACAGAACCTTTTATTCATAGGTTATGAGTTTCAGAGTTAAATGATGCTGAGTAGCATGGGGCTTGTGACTGCATGAACTTGACAAGTCCTGGCTTCCCTGTATTTACCTAGATAGTCTAAGGAGTCCTTTGTGAGGTCCTAAGGCACATGCGTGTGTATGTGTGTGTGTGTGTGTTGTGCATATATATGCATGTATGGATGTCAACACACATATATACGTATGAATATACATATATATTTCAAATGCAGAAAGCAAGATAATTGATATTATGGCTTTTTAAGTAGGTGTCTATTAAGTTGAGCTATATGTGATTGCTAATAGTTCACCATTTTTGTCACACAAAAATAGTAGTTTCATATGGTACAGCCTAATACTGCCAATGAAACTTTAAGGTCTCAAAAAAACAAACAAAAAGGGATAGAAAATAACACAAACAAAGCCTTGTTGCTGGTGGTCTCTTTTGCTCAGTCTAGGGTCACCTGTGTGGCGGGGCTACGGCTGTATGTCAGAAGCTGTGGCTTGCAGGGACCTTTAAAGGAAATGCATGTCTTATGTGAAAGAAGAAATGGCCCCTGGTCCCTATCAGTGCAGCGGGATCGTTATGAAATTGGCGCGTGAACCATTTGTTTTACTTTCTTCTCAAGCTGGTCTGTGTCTAGTTCCCTTCTGTCCTCATGTGGAGGGATGTTCTCATGCACGGGTTGTTAGAGGTTAGAATGTCAACAAGCAGCACAAGCATGACAAATGTCTGCCTTTCTGGTGAGATAACATTTTCATCCAGGCTATGCACACATCATCCGTATTTCCCCAAATATTTGTGGCATAATTCATTGAATAGAGAATCATCCCCCGCCCCTCCTGGTTTGGCTGCTCAAAGATGCAACAACAACCAACTCATAATACACAAAGAAACCAAGAGCCAGTCCATAAAGAGAAGCCTGCCCCCAGGCTTAATTCAAGCAAGCCATTCATTGAGCTAATGTGATGATGGACCTTTCAAATCCAGAACATACCACGGACACATCAGCAACATCAAGTGGCATGCAATGACCAGATGACCATCGGCCCCACTGCCATGCTTTGATTGGTTCAAGCTCAAAAAACAATCATCTCCTTTGAGAGTTTGGATAGTTGGCTTTCCATAAATCAAAGTGAGAATAAATATAAAGATTTGGTGAGGTAGAGTGCTTACCAAATGTTTCCTAAATGCCAAGGAAAGATGTTTGCCTATTCCCATTAAATTTGTCAGTGAGCCTATACAATTACCTAGTCCAGTCAGGTCTTTTTCTCTTGGGGAAATCTCTGTCCACACCAGATAGTGTTTGTTCTGGAGGTCAGGATTCAGAAACTCACAGGGTGATCCAAGATAATCAGCATTTAACCAAAAAGGTGATGGGCAGGGAGTTGCAAGGCAAGCATCAGTGACCTCCTGGACAGTCTAGAGGTCATTGGAGTTCAATATTTTCCAAAGGTCCCTGAATCTTTCATTTGACGAGGGCTTAATTTGTGCTGATAAAAGATAAAACATCTACCAACTGGGGACACCAAATTTCTGTCACTTTCAAGATGTCTGCAGAGTGATTCACAATTACAGGGAAAGTTTGCTGTAGTCTGTTTTTTGATCAAGTTGACAACAAGTGGGCATGACCCAAACATCCTCAAGTCCTGCTGATTTTTACTTCCTATTTTGGAGGAGTGGCTTGGGGTTAAGAAGTTTTTTTTCTTTTTGTCGTCTTGCCTGTCTTCTAGAGAACAGGAACTAAGAATCTATAACTACTAGTATTACACTGTGATCGTGTAAACATAGATTTTTACACAACTGCCCTAAGATAAATTCTAGAGACTTGGCATCTTTAATGTGGATTCAAAAGCTATTCTGATAATGTGACATTTCCCCCCAAATATGTGTCTTCCATAGAAAGGTCTTCCTTCTGTTGATCTGCTTACTAACAATGAAAGGAAGGACCACCATTTCATAAAGGCACTTCACAAATCAAACCAGAAATACCCTTTTAGAGATTGTTTTCTGGTAATTTACCTATTACTGCATTTACCTTAATACAATATTTCCATATGTGGCAAGCGTCTTGCTTATAATAAAGTTAAACAGGGCCAGTAATCAATTTCCACAGCAACCAAGAAGACCTAATATGCAAATTTCTTTAATGAATAGCAAGAGGCCAATTACATGGACAAGACTATATTTAGTTGGTTTCTTCAACTGAAACTATTATAATCAAGTGGGAATTGCAGAGTTATTCAAGATTTACCAATCCAAGAATGAGGGCAATTTTTCAGGAGGACATGTTGCCAATGAGAATCTCAGTAATATTAAAATAACAGATTTTATACATACATTTACATATATGGTGCCCCCAAATGCAGCAACATTTGAACTTAATTTTTATATGAATGCAAAAGGAGGTGGCCAGATTCTCAAGTAATTCTATCTAAGAAAAGTGTTAAACCTTATTTATAAATTATTTCAAATGCCTAGATTAGTCTTATTGAAGAAAGCAATTTAAATTATATCTTTGTAATTAACCTTGTTTTCAACTTGGGGGTACATGCACTTGTACTGAGAGCAAGATAAAAATCCAAAGAAATAAGTCTGTTGAAGATTCTTGTAATTATACAGCAGACTAAAGTTACTATGATTATAATTATATACAAAACGCGTGTTTGAGAATTTAGCATCTAGAGATATTTTCATAAAAATAATTAAGGGTTGTAGATGAACCACATTACAATTGATACTTTGCGAATCTTCAGTGTGCAGATTTTAATAGCATTAAGCTTTTTCATTTGTAGAATGCTCTTGAGTATTTCAAGGCTGTCAACATTTTTATTAGCCTTATTGACCCTCTCCATTTTCCTAATCCAGTGTCAAAGTGTCTTGAAGATAGCAACTCACGTAAAACATATTTTACATCTTGACAACTGATTACTGGGTAACTGGATAATTTATGGCTTTGGAACTGAATCTTGACAATTGTTTGGATTTCTGTGGAGGCTGCCTCCAGCCTTGAGAACTCGTGATGCTATTTATAAGAATATAGTAATAATACCTGCATACAATCAGACGCAGATCTCAACTGTATCTCGCCAAAGAGCCATTTATTTACAAGTTTATGCATGGGATTTTCAAAGTGCAGCTTTTAGGGTTCAGCAATTTATTTTGCTTTATCACACCTCGGAAGAATTCTGTAGCTACAGTGAGCTAACAACACATCTTGTGAGAAATGGAATGGAACTGCGGAGAAAGCATACCACAGCAAACGGAGAGAGGAACTAAGTCACAACAGGCCAGGTAGGAGAACCAGTGGCTGCTGACACTTTCCATTCAGGGCTCGAATACATCGCCTTGCTTACCTGTCTGACCCAGCATGCCTCAGCCACACATGCAAATTGTTATCATCACTGCTTTATTCATGAAACGTATTTTTAAATTAAAGGAGTCATTACCCAAAATAAGCACCCTCAGTGACATTTGAGCATGCAGAGCATCTGAACATTCACATTTATGTCCTCCGAAAACAGACCCAACGAGTTGCATTCAATATGGAAACCCACACTTTCTTTTTTTTCAAGGCACCTATACAGAAATAGCTGTGGCTTGCTTGCCATTTCAGGAACCGAGTCATCTGTTAAGCCTGGGTAATTGGTGATGAAGCTCTTTCACTCCACAGCCCCGCCATCCATTCTGACTTCAGCATTTCTTAAACCCACTTCTGTCCCTCCCACTGCCAGTCTTAATGTGTGGTGTGCATGACAAATAGAAGTTGGCTTCTCTAGGTACAGTTGGACACTGGGCATTGCAAAAGGACCAACTCTCCTTAGGAGTGTGAGCTACACTTCTCCCATTCCTTTATTTTGGATTTAAAAAAATGCTTTACCGGGTGTAAAAAGTTGTAAAAAAAAAAAAAAGGGAAACGGGGTGCTTGAAATCGAGGTAAACCTGCCGGGTCACCTTTTGGGTTTCTTCCTATGAGTTAGATGAGACCATGGCCTTACTTAGACCACGAGGTAGTTGCACAGGGAATGTACATGCAAAGTGTGCTGTCACGGGAATTAAGAGAGGTCGATACAAGAACCAAACATATCATTTCCTTTGTGTCTTAGCAGAGAGGGCGAGAGTTTAGAATGAACTAGGCTTAACAGTTCATTCTCTCGCTACGTGGGCCTGTGTTTAGCTTCACCAGGGGACCTCACTTTTTGGAGGGGGTGCTGCCTACCCAGCCGTCATGCATTTGCACCAAGACTGGACGAGAGCCTCGTCTCCCACCGGCTAAGTTAATTTCCAAGTAGCCATCAAGCACGAGAAGGAAGACCCTTACCTGTCACTGTAGGCAGCGGCAGTGGCAGGGGTAGGCTGGGCGTAGCGGTATGCAGCGTAACCACCCTGCAACACAAGGAGAAATCAGACTTAGGAACGCCAAGGAGCCCAACTCGGGGACGCCCAAGTGTGAAACCACACCAGAACAGCAGTTACCCACATCTACCAATCTAAAGTGGAAGTTAATGGAAGCTTAGTGTCAAAGCAGAAGTATAAAACACACCTGAGAGATAGGGGGCTGAAAACTATCCCAGCTGGATGTTAAAGGTTAGCAGGTGTAAGTAAATCCCCAAGGGAGAACCCAGCTACCTTTTGAACGACAGGTACCTAAGTGTTAACGTGGATTGTCTCGGGATGGGGAGGATTATGGGGGATCATTTAAACACTCTAGATACTTTGCTGAACTTTCCAGATTTTCATAACTGGGTATACTTTACCTTCACTTGCTAGTGATTAACTTACATGTTATTCCAACAATCTGATTACTTCCTTAAAAATCCAATATAAGTCAAGCTAACGTCCTCTTGTCTTTTATATTTATTTTAAGAAAATAACTCTGGGACTGAAAGTTTATTAGTAATCTCTTGCATATAAAGTTGCTTAACCACTAAAGCAATTAAAGAAGACTGTCCTTGGCTTTTTACATGTTACACAGTTATTTTAAAAAGGAATGGTAAATGCTTCTTAAAAATTCTGTCTTTTGGCTAAAGAGATCACACTGATTCCGATGGGGAATGTGTTTGGTGCGGAAAATATGCTAAAGTATTCCAATTTGTAAATAAAATCATTAAGAGAGAAAAAAAATCTGAAAAAAATAATTAACATTTAGTTGTATGTACCAGTAATTGCAATTGTTCAATTAAGCAGAGGACAAGCAAATGGGCATATTTGAAAGGAATTGTGTTCAGTGGAGCATTGATTATCAAACTGTGAAAATAACAGAGCTCCTTGCTCACCCAACCACAGCGATACATCAGCCACTGTCGAATGATCTCAGCACAATTAACAAACAGGATCCAGTCTCTACTGATAACACAGGGACCATTCAGGTTCTAATTAGAATACACAGTCCCATGAGCCTCTGAGGGAAAGGGATCACCCCCACTGTAAAGAGGCAACTCAGGACAGACTACCGTGTGGGCGGGGCTTTAACAGCAAAGTCATTTATGTATGTGCCCAAGGGTATCTATGAGGGAGGGTCATGAATGGAGTTCATTCCGTTTGGCTCCATATACCACAGGGGAAAACCTAGCGGTAGGATAAAAGATAGATGAATGGGGAAGCTACAGAAAGCATCTTTTAAAGTGTAGCTTCAACTGGTCTCAATAATTTATTTCTACCATCTACCAACCACAGCTAACTTTCAGAGTAAATTTGCTCTCACTTCCATAGCAATTCTAAAACGCTCTAGCTTAGCTTTAAACAAGTTCATTCTTCGGGCCGGAGAAGACACATCTAAGACATCCTGACAGATAATCACCAATAATTTAGAGCCAGCTAAAACAGAAGTCACCTTTGAAAAACAAGGTGGAAGTTAAAAAACAACAACAATAAAAAAAGAGGTCTTAGCCAGACAGCACCTGGTGTTCCAAACACCATTTTCTCTCCTTAGGTAAGAGGAAACTCAAATATGCTGAGCTCCAAAAGCAAAGCACGTTGTCATACTGCAAGCACCAAGCTTGGGTTCAGATTGATGGACCGAGGGGAAAATAGGCCACCAGTTTCTGGAGCCGTTCTTTTCACCTGCTTGCCCTTAGCTTTCCTGACGCACCCAGAAAGACACAGGTACGCAAGTATGTGTCGTAAACTTAATGACGTAGGAAGGGGCTGGACTCGGCAAGCTGAGTGCTAGGAGGTGGCAACTGCAACCACCTGAAAGCTTTGAGTGGAGAGAGAGATTCTCTCGCTCCCAGAACAAAAAAACAAGGTTATTGCCAAGATACTTGCATTCAGTGCCATGTCAATCAATCATGATTTGGGTGACTGTGAATTTGGTCCCAGCAAAGATCTCGCACAATGTTGCACATGTAAATTCTCTTTGTTTGAACTCTGTACATCTCCTCCCACTTTGGCAGTAGTTTTCGTCCATGGAATTAGGTAGCAAGTTTGATTAATGGAAAGAACTGTAGCAGTGCGAGTAGAAGATAACTAAAACGAACCTGACTGCTAGGTCGGTAGGGACCCGTCTGCACAACAGATGGGCTAGTCTGTGAAGCTTTGAGAAGGACTCATCTTCCACATATTTGCATATGACTTAGCCATTTAACTTAACCAAGCACACAGGTGTGTGTATCCATGCAAGGCAGACACAAGTGGTCAGTGCCCTGACACTCATCTTTGTTAATTAGGAATTTGTTTGCAAGCATTCCCAACTCAAGGGTCAAGGTCAGAGTTTGCTCAAGTCTGTGGAGCCAGTGGGAAGATTTTGACCTAGATTGGTGGTCTCTTGGTGATGACGGGAATGTTGTCTATCTGTGCTGTCCAGTATGGTAGCCACTTGTCCTAAGCGGCTATTGAACACGTGCAATATGGCTGATACAACAAACTGAATTTTTAATTTATTGAATTTGAGTTCATTTGAATATAAATGCAAATAGCCACATGGGGCTGGTGCCTACCCTACTGGAGTCCAGGTCTAGGGGATCCCTGAAACACATAACAATTGGGAAAATAAAAGGATTAGGTAGCCTGATACCTCCACAGGTATACATTGTATTGTCTTTCTTTGCTAGTTTTCTTCTGTATGAAATCCATATTAGGTAGGAGAATAACAGAGTTGTGTATTAACTCAGTGTATGTGTGCATACACTGTAAAATGATCAAAGACATACAAATTGCTTTAATTTGCCTTTCTAACAGGTAACTGTAATCAATTTTATTGCTTCGTATTTTGCAGCTCGTGGAGCATAGCCAGGGCTTCTGCAAGGTTCCATGGTTATGTCTGAAAAAGGAACGCTTACTTCCATTTGCTGTCACCAAACCATGTTCATGTTGAAACTGGCCCTCCCAGTTCTTTGGACAAAAATGCATCCTTGAGTTTGATTTTTCTCTCACCTCCAAACTAAAGGAAAAGGGGTAACAAGCACAATATAGGTCTATACTCCCTATTCATAAAACATACTCATTTTTTTCTACGTGCTGGGCAGCAAAATATAAATGTGACCTGATAGAAAATACAAGTTTTAAATAGCCATTATGGACTGCCATGTCCACCCCTGCCGCCACCACCAGATGTGGCCATCAAAGATACTGGGTCACATGGTCTGAAACATTTCCTTTGTTAGCGAGACCCTGGAGGGTCCGTTGGGGGAAATTAAGCATCTCTAATGATGCCCCATAAAGCATTTTCGAAAGTGTGGTTGGTGGGATACTGACAGTGGCAGGGACAGCAAAGCTTCCATGACCAGACAGGTCTGGGAAATGCGCAGTTAAAAATAAAATGGCTATTCCATTTGTGGAACTTCCTAAAGCAGTGCGGATGGTCATTGTTGCTCCCACCACATTTCAAAGTAGTTTGACAAAGGAAATCACATGTCAAACTTTAGAGCATACTTTTGGAAAAAGATGTTCTAATATCCAAATGGTGAATTACTTAGGGAGCGAGGTGAAACGTGTGTGTGTGTGTGTGTGTGTGTGTGTGTGTGTGTGTGTGTGTGTGCTGGCGGGGATGTGGGGGTGGGTAGGGCTGTGTGTGTCTCACTTTGGTAAAGCAGCCATGGGCTTAATCACAGACCGAGGCCTCCTCCTTTCCGAGAATATCCAAGGATCCCACTTTGTGCAAAGCAGGTGGATTGGTGTATATATAATTAACTCAACACTTTATTTATAAATGCTCAACATTTACAAGAACATTTGCAAAATGAAAAACTTAACTATAAATCATTACTCCCTAATTTATCTGCTTTATACATTCAGCTGTTTTTGAACTGTGGCAAGTTTTCTTGAAATGTGAAAATAAAAGTTCGGCTCAGGAATTTTAATTGTTTTGTCCTCTCCTAGGTTCAAGTACGTCTTTTTCTTTGTAGACTTCTTCTTAACACTTGATTAATTTTCACAGAAAAAAAAACCCAATGTATTTTCTTAACTGACTTAATATCCAGCAAAAATGAAAATCGCAGGTTGTAGGAAACCCCATGTAATAAAATGTCCACTGATCGTCCTTAGTTTTACATTCTTCTTTCATTTTATTTGACAGTTGAAATGTTGGTTATAGACCAAACTGGAGGCTCAGCCAGTTACACTCCCATGGATGTGAGGAACTTTGACCTGCAAATTTGTTCATTTGGGGGTTGCTTCAGCAGTGAAAAATAGACACGAAAGCTATGACAGTCTGTGTGACATAAATTTAGAAGAAGCTACAATGACACCAGGAAAAGATATATTAGCTATGCTGACCCTCAATGCTAGATGCATAAGAGATTTTTTATTTAACCATTCCAGTTGACTCCTGGAACCTACTAGAATTTTTTCTTAGACAATTGGTTCAAGGAAACCCTAGAATTCTTTTTCACTGAATTTATATTAATTGAGTCCAGATACATTTTAAACCAAGAAATTTATAGTCAAGCCAGACTCCCATTTTGATACGCTCAAGACCTAGCAAAGAGGGGACATTTGACGATAAGCATGTCTAGTCTAGAAGGAGTCACATCAAAACTGGAAAATTCAGTGAAGTCTTTCCTCGTTCTAGGTTAGAATAGTCTTGTTAGTAGGATTTCACAGCAAACCCACAACCAGAGTGATGAGTTTTTCCACCAGTCCGGATTTCATACCTGTAGCAATTTATTGCCATACACAGGCTCTTGATAGACTACTCTATAAGGAAACAGAGATGTAATGTTTTCAATGAAAAAATGAAGTAAATCAAAGAAAATGCATAAGTCAGACAGAAATCCCAGAGCAATTCATTTACAAGTTTGCTTCTCTTCACCAAGACCTGAGCGTGACCCACCGAAACAAGAGGAACCAGGCATCGCCAAGCCACCTTAGCGGCAATGTAACCAGCAGTGTCAAGGTAGTGATGGGCTCAAACCACACTCACTGTGTGAGAACCTGTGTTTCTTTTTAAGGAAGGAAAAAAAAAGATACTTTCATGGCTGCTTACCCTTCCAAGCATATTCCAATGGTTCAAGTTAATGATTTCAAATTTCTGTCTTGAGCTCATACTTGGAAGTCTCTAGAATGCCTGAGGACTTAACCTTGATGCCTAATTATTGAGGCAGCGAAGACGACAGTACAGGAACTTTTGTAACTGTATCAACACACCTGTATTTCTTAAATTTAACTTCAACTAGCAGCACAGAGCACAAGTGTATTTCGTGGATTAACGCCGCGCATCGAAGCTACTACCTAAGCTACTTTGAATAGATATGACTAGAAAAAGTATGTGTGTGCACATGTGTGTGCGTGTGTGCACATGTGTGTGCGCGTGTGCATGTGCGCGCGTGCAGGGGTCTAGAAAGGCTGCTGTTAACATAGGTGTAATTGACATGTCATTACTTCTTTCAAGTCTATTGCTGGCAAGATCTCAATAGAACCCAGGGACGAATGGAGGCAACTTGTGGATTTGTGGCTGATTTATGGGTGAGGCCAATCTTTCCCGTGAGTGGTTCTAGTGTGAAGTGAAATTTTCCAGTTCCAGGGCAGACCTTGAGGTGAACATTTTAAGAGATTTAGGAACATTTTAAAACATATATGTATATGTATATGAGAATATAATATAAATAATATAACATAATATTATATATATATATATATGTATTTCTTATGTAGTCTGGCTTTCCTTTCCAATTTAGTTTTACTTAACTTTCCTCTTTAAGTTCTAGTTCTCTCTGCCTCCACCCCCAGGTCCCATTGCTCATTTGCATATTTCAAGTACAGATATTATTCCCCAGGGGCCTGCCCACCCCATTATGTGCTCCATTATTCTCCCACTTCTCACGGTCCTCCTCTCCTCCCTTTACCGCCTCTCTCCAAGTTTGTTCAATGAGGACAATGACATTATTCTGTTGGCTCAGGGCTTCAACTCTGTAGCCAGGTCAAGTGGCCCCAAACCCCAGTGTCAGTGAAGATGACAAATTATATCACCTCTTTGGTAAAAAGAAAGAAAAAAAAAGTTTTCTAATCTGGAAAAAAGAAAAGTAAAGGGAACAGGTAATGAGATTCCTCTATTCCAGGGCTGTGGTGATGAGAAGCTGAGGTAAGGGCTGAGCGTCATGTGTCTCACATGGTAGATGCGTAACTTAAAAAAAAAAATTAAATTTATTGGGGTGGCACTGGTTCATAAAGTTATATAGGTCTCAAGTGTACAACTCTATAATACACCATCTATATATTGCAGTGTGTTCACCACCCAGAGTCAGTTCTCCTTCCATCACCTTATATTTGACCTTTTTCACCTTCTTCTACCTCCCCCCATCCCCCTTACCCTCTGGTAACCACTAAACTGGTGTTTGTGTCTATGAGTTTTTTTTGCTTGTTTTTCTTGTTGCTTTCCACATATGAGTGAAATCATACGGTTATTGATTTTTCTCTGACTTATTTCGCTTGGCATGATGGTCTCAAGAAGCTTAACTTCTTGATGGGCTGTCCCCTCCTCTCTGGTTGACTGACCAGCCTGATGTTTATCCTCAGCCGGTCCACCCCGAAAGCAGGGTCTTTGGAATAAGGACGTAGCGTTTTTATTTGGAGAGAATTTCTGCTTTCCAGCTTTACATGTTCCTGGAGCTACTGACACTTCCTCCTGAACTCAAGCATCAGTGAAATGGGGACCCCTCTGTGTTAAGGTCCATGGATAGGAGAGCGACATGAATTCAGAAATAACTGTGTTTAGCCATGGTGTCAACCAGAAACTTGTTACGACAGAATTTAGGAATGATGTAAAAAGGCACTGGATTCTCATCAAGGCATATTTGCTAGGCAGCCTCAAGGCTGCGCTGTTAGAAAACTTAGGGCTCTCCGAATACAAGGGGATGCAGTTAACGTTTATATCATCTACCAGTTCCTCTCTCACTCTGCCTTCTCCTGTGTTCGCTTCCCTGCTTTCCATCGCCCAGAAATCACTGTCTTACTCCACTTGCCGCTGACAGTTTATCAATTCTTTTTTATAGCTCTATGATCATTTCCTTCTTTCCATTTTCAATAGCTCTCTTTGGATCAAATGCCATATCCTTTGATAGCTCCCTGAGTGGGTCAAGATAAGTGCCTTGGCCAAGTTCAGTGGAGCACCACTTATTTTCAGCTCCCTGATCAGGTCTGGCCTCATGAGATCTATAGCTTCACCCTTAAATAGAATGGATTGCTTTGAAGAGCCAGGGGACTGAGTGTTTCTATTGTACTTCACTTTTCAAACAGCTTGTCATACCCACGTATCACCTCTACTATTGTTATTTTTTTTTTCTTTAGCTTAACCTACTTTTTACTTAAAAAGAATTTCTTTCAAGACCCACCACTAAGTAATAATACTGAACTAGTAGGTTTGAAATGCTAGTTATTTAAGCTGATTTCCTATCTTTTGACATAAAAGAGAGAGAGGGAGAGAGAGGGAGAGAGTGAGTGTGGGGTGTCCCCAGGTAGAAATAATGCAGGTAATTAATTACCTTTCCTACCCTCTTTGCTAACTCAGACACCCCCTACATTCCAGCACCCCTGGAAACCCCCAGTGCCATCCACACGGGCTGAGCACGTCTCCTGCGCTGTTGGCCTCCTGAATAGGACGCTGCTCCGCCTGAACGAGCTTCCTTGGTTTTTACCTTAGTTTCTGGCTCATGGCATTTGCTAACAAGGCTCCTCCCCCCAGAAATTTCAGGGCATCTCTGATCATCTCCCCCTCTCTCCTCAATCCTCTCTTCTCTGAACAGGTTAAGAAGGAACTCATTCTAGATAGGAAGCTGTGGCCTGCCAGGTACAAGGATCCTGCAGGTCGTTCAAATCAGAAATGCCCGAGGGCTCCCACGCCAGGTGGGAGGGACGGGAAGACCCTGGGCAACAAAAAGGAAAGGGGACGGGAGGAAGTGGGGTGCACAGAAAAGGCAGTCGTTCAGTGGACGTGTGTGTCTCCTTGTTGTTGAGCTGCTCTGATATACTGTCAAGGCCAAGGACAATCAGAGGAGGAAGAACTGGAGAGCAGGTTCCCCTTGACTTTTTAAAAGTAACCAAAGCTAGAAGCTTCCTCCTCTGCCCAATACAATTGAAACGAAATAACTGGTTTAAACCTATTGGAGGTGAGTAGTGTGTCTAGCACATGTCCCAGGTCCTCTTAGGATGGCCTTACACCACACCTATGTGTTCTGCACTATTTCTAATGAGATTAAAGGAGCAAGCCAGAAACTTCCTTTACATAAAATAGAGCCTCGCATGCTCTTGTATGAGCCTCTTTAATCACCATTTCTTAAAGAGTGCTGGGGATGTGTCCACACATCAGAACATAAAGTGTCTCAAGGGAGGTGGGAGTAACAGCTAGAAAAAGCAACTCAAGATTATAATATACGTCTAACCAGGCCTGACTCCTGCTCTGTAAACTCTGGAGGGCAGGAAATCTTCATATTCTTTCTTGCCCTTAAATGAACTGAAGCCCACGCATGAGCCCTTGTTTCGCTGCCAAAATGGAGGTGATCGAGTTCATCACTGTCCCCCACACACATGCACCACTCAGCAGCAGTATTCCAAAGCTGCCATCTTAAACAGAGCAAAAAATTTAAAGAGATCTGCAAGGTCTGAGCTACCTTCTTGGAAAAAGGACAGAAACATGCGCTGGGTTAAAAAAAACACAACAAAACAAAAAACCCTCCAAGTTCATATTTCAGTTAGTTTTTCTATCACCTAAATGCCTATTTGGAACCACCCCTGAAAAATCTTATTGTCCTTATAATAATACGAAGAGTGGGAACATGACATAAATTTTTTTTTGCTGCAAGGGTGGCTTGCAAAGGGTGAGAGGAACAGTTTTCTAAACCTATGCACCAGGAAATTCAGGACTCAAAGTTACTGAGTAAGTCTCTTCATCTAAACCTCATCCAGACACCGCTTTGCCCACATGTGATGAATTGGTGGGAAAGAAAAGCTCCTAAAGGAAACAAAAGCATGAAGGGGCTTTTTTGGAGCGTTCCTCCCTGAACAAAATCTCTCTTTCTACGTTCGTGTGGTTGTTGGTGTACTCGCTTGCCTTTGAGTACCTCTGCTCTCTCCATTCGCCTTGTTCTTGGGACATTTCATTGTCCCAAACAATCTAGTCATACTCGATCAATTACTCTAGTCATTCTTTTTCTTTATTTGTGGAATCTTACACCCTTAGCTTTTCAGGCAGCTTCTACTTCATATATATATATATATAAAAGATTTATATATATATAAAATATATATATATATATATATATATATATATATATATATATATATAAAATCTATGAGGTAAGGGGAAAAAATGCCAATTTGAAATCTCCATAGGACAGCAAAAATTAAAATGCAATTATTGTCATTTTACAAATAATTCAATCAATGATTGTCATTTTACAGAGAGGTGAACACTCGATAAATGACAGCGGATACTATGTTTGTTTTTAGCTAGGCTTGGGTGTTAATGCTGATAGTTCCCTTGTGGTGGATTTTCTTTTTTTCTAATTTCTCCATCCCTTCTCTATTCCCTTACATGTCCCAAATTAAAAAAAAAATCTCTAAAATTAGTTTTACCAACTAGAGTCCCTACATAGGCACACATACTCGATCCAGAGACTACACCGGGGGAGGCAACAGACTGATGTTTGGGTTCACCTGGTATCTGAGGACGAATGAGCTCTAAACTGCTCAGCCCCAGCCTG